AGAGAGAGAGAGAGAGAGAGAGAGAGAGAGAGAGAGAAACAAGAAAATCTGACTGCTAGAGGATGAAAAAAGAAGAGAAAGAGAAACAAGAAAATCAAGATCAATTCAAAGTAAAAGAAACCAAAATCCTAACTCTCAAAAGACAAGGCAAGGGAAAAATACCCTTCATTAAAAAATCAGGGGAGGAAATCCCCAAATATGTATATACACTCATGAACTAATCAGCACAGCAAGAACACACACACATACACATACACACAATGGAAAAAAGATTCTTAATATGAAGAAATTGTCTCTGCTGAAGTGGTCAAAATAGTCAATGAGAATGAATGGTCATTGCTTATGTCCAACTGTCCTTTCTGTTTCTTCTTGGGTTATGGAGAGAGAGAGAGAGAAAGGGAGAGGGAGAGGAAGAGGGAGAGAAAGAGAGGGAGAAGGAGAGGGAGAGGGGAGAGAGAAGGAGAGGGAGAGAGGAGGGAGAAGGAGAGGAAGAGAGAGAGAGAGAGGGAGAGAATATGAATAAATAAGAGCTAACCAGTTCCTCTTTTCGTGTTGTTCACTGAGCTGCCAAGTGGAATGGTCTAAGACTGAAGCTAGTTGAAATAGCTCTCAACTTCCCTTCTCACCAGTACAAGATAGGATGGAGTGGGAAGTACTCTCCCTGGAGTTTGGTCTACATAAAACAGATGTAGACCAAAAAACATTGTTTTATGGTCTACATAAAACAATGCACTCCTGGGATGGGACTACTGAAGAGTTCTATGACAGAAGTTCCAGCTGCAGAGGCTTAGGTCTAATCAGGCCTTAGGGACTTGGTGGGTGATATCTGCTCTGAGAGATTAGATCAACACACACTTAGGGCCAGGCAGATGCAAATCTCTGCTGCAAGTCTGGATGTCAGGAGCTTCATAAGAATTCTACTGTTGGGGCAAGGGTGTCAATCTCCCACCCACTCTGTTGCCCCAAACACAGCCATCCCAGACTTAGTCCCCGAATGTACACACACTGCCTATTCAGATGCCTGTTCCTTTTTAGCTGGTCATGTGATGTTTTTTCAGCTTTTTCACTGCTGTGACTAAGAGACCTGACCAGCACAATTGTACAGGAGGAAAAGTTTATTTGAAAGCGTATGGTTTCAGAGGTCTTAGTCCATAGAAGGCTGGCTCTATTCCTAGGGACTTGAGGTGAGGCTAAACATCATGGCAGGAAACCTTGGTGGAGGTAAGCAGCTCACACCACGAAGAGAAAGCAAAGAGACTGAGAATCTCTACTTGTCAGATACAAATATATACCCTGAAGCCATGCCCCAATTCCCACCTGCACCAGCCACACACTACTACTTCAATTACCACTCAGTTAATTCCTATTGGGGATTAATTCACTGATTGGGTTAAGACTTTTAAAACCCAATCATTTCTTCTCTGAACCTTCTTCTTGCATTGTCTCACATGTGAGCTTTTCAGAGACAACATATCTAAACCATTACGTGTGAGCTGCCAGACTCAAAGGAAAAGACAGTTTGGCTCTTTTCTATTTTTCTGACTTGAATCCTGAGTACAATCTTCCCTGTGCCTGTTTCATTCACATGGTGTTTGGTATACCCTAGGCCACACAGTAAGTGCTTACCAGGGCAGTATGGCTAAGATCTTGGGCTCCTGCAGCAGCAACCTGTAGCATAGCCGATGGCTCCCACTGCACCTCTTCTTAGCTAGTTGAGAAACACAGGCACTTCTCAAACACCAGCAGCCTAAATTAACTGATCTTGAAGCTGCACCAAAACCTGGTGTTTGAGAAGTGCCAAATCTGTTCCTTGTGTTCTCCTTCTCCTCTGTGGTGAACCAGCACTTGCTGTCACTGCTATAACTGGCTTGACTCCTGTGTACTTTTTCTTTGTTCAATGCACCTGAATTTCTGAGTCTCTAAGATGCTCTTATTATACAGTATTGAATTTAGTGAAATTGCTTTTTTACCCACCTTGCTGAGAAGCTATACTCCTGCTGCTTGAATCCCAAGTCAGGGAGCAACTAGGAATGAAGCCTTTCTCTAATCCACCATCTTGAAAATTCCTGGCTTTGATTTTAAGTACATCCTTTTGAATTAGTAAAATCTTTATTAAACTGATTCTGATGCCTCTCTTGCTCTCTGGACTCCCAAAGCTTAAATCAGTTGCTTGGTGCTGTTTTAACAATATGATGTGGTTATATTCATTCATTGGATAATTATTGCAATGGTTATTAATGGAATAACTCCAATAGGTCAGGCATTTTTCTGGAGAAAAAGCAGAATTAAAATTATTCCTGGCCTCAAGGACTTGACTTACCTAATTGGAAACCTAGGCCTAGACATTAAGAGTTACAATACAATGTAATAGATACAAATAAATACAAAACATTATTCAACTTCTTGTCTAGTTAATCTTAATATGCCAAGTCCTTTCAGTTGCCACTGTCCTTGCCATGAGAACATCTTTGTTATGTGCTCAAGGTTGATTTCTAATGATGAGGGAATTAGGCTGGAATGAGATAGGAGCTGACTACCAACAACCACTATTGCAGGCCTCATATTTCACTTTAGTCCATTATCAGGGCTATTATCTAGCTCAGAACTTGATATGCTGAAAACACCCTAGTTTCTCTTCTTGCATCTTAAAGTAGAAAGATCAGATGCTATTTCCATTAGTTGTCCATCTGAGGATACCATACAGGCTATTCCCTTGATAGATTTAATTTCACACATTACACTGAATTTTTCTTAAGGAGGAAGCAGCTGGAATGAACAAGGAGTTGATTTCTGAGATTCTGAAGGCAATAATAGTATTTGCAAGCAATTTGTTGCGGGTAAAGTAGAAGAATCCCTCAAGTACTTCTTTCTATGGTCTCGTGATTTCTCTTGCATTTATTTACCCTCCACTCTCTACCACTACCACCACCACCTCTCCTTGGAACCAATGAGTGACTAACTCACACAACATCAATCCATAGATTTTAAATATGAATGCAAAGAAGGAATTCCAGTGATGTTTGACACTTCCACTAACACTTAAGTGGGAATTCAGCAAATTATTTTAGGAAGATGTTTACATATACCATTAAATATTCCTATGGCAGAAATTCTAAAACCTGTTTTATTGTTCTGAAATCCTGAAGTCCATGATTTAACATGGATAATAAACTAGGAAGCTAAATAATTGATATAACTCAAATTTAAAGTACATTTGACTAATTGGTTGAATGTGTCAGAATACAATATGTGTACATATAAAAAGATTGGTGAAGCTTGCTGTAAAATCTTAATGTGTTCATTAATTCTTTCAGTTAACAAATGCTTACTAGGTATGGATAACATGTCAGGCAATATGCTAGCTACTGTGTATACACAGATAAGAAAAAGATGATCCTCATCTTAAAGACACACTCATTGGAGAGGCAGACTTATAAGCATAGAACTACCACATAGTGTACTAAGCATAGAAAAAAGCACAATTCACCATGAGAACAAGGTCGTTTTGGAGGCTTTCAAAGGAGAAGTTTCTTAAATTGTGTCTTAATTATTTGCTGCTTGAAGCCTGGTTTGTAGATCAGGTGTATTAGTCAGCTTTGTGTCACTATAACAAAATACCTAACTGAAGTTACTTGTAAAAAAAATTATTTAGTTCACTTTTAGAGGCCCAAAGACATAGTGCCTGACCCAGCTCATTTGGGGACCTCATAGCAAATGGCAGATGCGTGGAGCATGTGCAGGAGCACACAGGTAGTTACATCATGAACCAGAAGCAAAGACAGCTGCATGTGGCCGAACTCAGGCTTTTATAACAGCCCTCTTTCAAGAGTCAAGAAGGAGTTCCATAAGAATTACCTGGTGAGCATGCCTCCAAAGAACTAAGGATGTCTCACCAGGCCTCACCTCCCAAAGCTACCATTACCTCCAAATAGCATGGCCCTGATGAAAAAGGCTTCAATCACAATAGACCTTTGGGTACACTCAAATTATACCCAAGCCATCATACTAGGTCATTGCATTGTCTGGAAGTCTGTTAGAACTGCAGAATCTCAGGTTCTGTTATGGACATACCAATTCAAGATTTTCATTTTAATAATATCTCTAGTGATTTGTATGATGTTAAGATTTGAGAAGTTTTTTTCTTAAAGGATGCATAGGAATTCCCAGGCAAATAGAGAGGAAGAGAAGAGTATTTTCCAAAAGTGGGAATTATATGTTTAAAGGGGTTTTGGAGTGGAATTCTCTCCAGAAGTAGACTCTGGGACAGAGTTGAATATACTTGGGAGGAAGCACTAGTAGGAGAGTGAGAAGTTAGACAAGGAAGGAAGGAAAGTAAGAATGACTATAAAGAGTGGGTTTTTTTTTTTTTTTTTTGGTAGCAGGTTTCCTCTGTGACAACTATGTCTCGGGCTCTTGGGAGAACCCGGAG